CATGGACGGCCCAACACCCGGGACTATAGGGGTAACACAAACTGGAGAGGATGGGTTATTTTTAAAAAACTGAACTGGAGTTACAGTCAGTTGTCAGCCACCATTGTTGGTGCTGGGCACCAAACCCAGATCCTCTGCAAGAGCAGTAAGTGCTCTTAACCACTGAGCCTTCTCTCCAGACCCCCAGCTTTTCTTTCTGTATGGTATAGTGGCCATTTCTCATATTTTCAACAATTCCTCTCTTTTATCCACAGAGCATTTCTGTAGTGTGCACCAAGAACATCTAAACCTGATGCTCCTTGGCAGACAGTGTCAGAGGTGCCTTGATCACTTTGCACTTGCCTGGTATCACAATTTCAGTGTTCACTGCGCAGCCGGGGAGGAGGACGCAGCCTTCTCAACGGTCTTCACTGCTTTCCTGTGTAAGAAAACCCTGCAAGGGTTCATTTCTGTGTTACTTCTCAGCATGGAGCCTCCTATGTAGTGCAAATAATATAAATTTGCACCCTACACTACTCTTTGAGGTGCGTTCATGTTTTTGAAGAATCAGAATTGGGGGGCTTTGGAAGGCTTTTTTTTAATTTTATATTTCAACTGACAGGAATGAGCCTTGAGCTTTTAGCACTGAATAAAGCTAAAAACAAAAACAAAAACAAAAAAAGAAAACAGAAAGGAAACCAATTTGTTCATTTGTCCTCTCTTTGTGCTCAGCTCATTTCTTTCCCTTAGGTCAAACCTCCCACTGTGTGTTGCTTAGGAAGGATCAGTTTTCTGAGGTTTCTGGTTTTTCCTCCTGCCTTTGCATGCAATCGAGGCTGTGTTGCTTGCATGACTCTAAAATCTGAAGCATGGTTGAGACAACACAGCATGCGTCTACAGTTGTGATGACCTGGTCACCAGTTTGGGTTAAGAGATGGCATCTTTCCTGTGTGCTTCATTAACGCTTGACAGAAGGGCTGTATTTTAGATATGCCTAGATGTGGCAGGAAGGGTTCAGAATCTTTCATTTGCTATAATACTGGTAGGATGTATTAATAGCATTTAAAAACAAACTCAATGTTACACAATGAAAAGTTAATAAAAAATAATCAGTTACCAGACACACAGAATCAGTACTTCTCTGCGGGAGCTTTACTGAAGATGTGGCTTCTGACTTAATCCTTAAAGAAAGAGAGAATTTCAACACCAGAAGAGGAAGTGGTGGGACTATGACAGATCTGGCTCTCTGCCCCACTTATACTATGTCCTGTGCCTGTTAGCACTATCATCTAGCATTTTGGTGACATTGTTTATTAAATGTTCACAACCCTGTGATTTTAAATCCTGCAGTTGTGACACAGAGGCAGGTTGCTAGAGTTTGGATGTGGACTGTCACCCCAGGGGTCCATGTGCTGGAGATCTGGTCTGGATGGTGCTGAGCTGATGGAACGTTTAAGAGATGGACTAAAGTCAGTTGTCCTCAGATCATTAGGGACCCCGTAAAGGGAACGGGTAGCTTTACTGGTAGCTCTCAAGGAACTTTTTCTTCTTAGGAGAAAGCTGTTATCAAAGGAGTAAGCCTGGCTTCACCCAGCTCTCCCTTCCTCCTGATTCAACACATAGTGACATGGGGGCTTCACCCTCCCACAGTGGTATTCAGTGGAGACCGTGGCTTGTTGTTTGGACTTTGAACCTCCAAACATGTGAGCTAAACAAACCTCTTTAGCAGTAGCCTGATACAGGTATTTTACTGTAGGGAGAAGACGACTGATACTCGGTGCTACCGTCATTTATGTACATAGCAAGGAGGATAAATTTGTCCTTGAAGGACATATAGCCCTCATACATAAAGGTCTGAGATACCACTAAACATTCTACAGTGCCCAAACAGCTCCCCACGACAAAGAATTGTCCAATTCAAAATGTCAATATTTCTGCTCCTGAGACCCCTGGATGAGTCAAAGCTGCCTGCAGCTGCTGTCACTTGTGTTGCTACTGCGGAACTCTGTTCCATTCCCTCTTTCACTCTGTGAATGTTTAAAGCTCACATTGTCAGCTGTACTCAAACACACATGCATATATGTGCACACAGACACACACACAGAGCTCACATTTTTTAACACACACACATACACACACAAAAAGACTCACACTTTTCTTCTTATATAACACTAATTTTTATAATAAATTGATGAATACATCTTGAAAATATCATGAGAAGCTGCAGCCCACTGGAGTCATTCTAGATTCTTCTCTGAAACAAGCAGTCCAGGAGATCAAATGCACAGGCCCTCTGGCCTCCTTCATTTACTCAGCTCACTGGCTCCACAACTGGGTCTAGGCAAGAGAGCTCTATTTCCTCATCTCCGATGACATTTGCCAACCTTACAGTGGCCTAATCAGCATATGTGCGCCCCAAGGTCTGCTACTGCTTCCTCCTGCCCTCCTAGTACCAGGTCAGCTGCTCACACCTCAGCTGGTAAGCACACCATCCTTTGGGTCAATATGCTAAGAGCTCACACAGTGGTCACCAGCTTGACCAGGAAAGCAACCATCTGATGTCTTGATTTTAATTTTATTGTTTAGATTACAACATTGATGCACCACACAGTATAGTTTGCAGAGGAAAAAACGCTGAAAGTAGCACTTTAATGGCAGCAGCGTAAACAATAACTGCTAAATAGTCCATTATCGAAAGACACATTTTCAGAACCCAGTGATAGCAGAAAGTCAGTGAAAGAGGGAAATAAATGGACATTTTGTTCCTGGTGAGGTCAGTTAGACTTCACAAATTCATTATTCAGAAAATGCAGTTTTGAAGATTAACCTACTTAGAAGTTAAAACACTAAATGTAACATTATTTCACAGTTTTTTTAATATATCACTTTAAAACTATTATCAGTCTCCTTAAAATAGGTATAGTTGTTTTGGCAATACTAAAAAAAAAAAAATGAGTGATTTGGCATTAAAAATACTTGGCACAGCACAGAGTCTGGAACCAGACTGTCTGAGTTAAAAACCCAACTCCCACTTGGGGCTTTGATCAATTCACTTAATCTGTTTGTGTTTCTCCATTCCCATCTAAAAATTACAAACAGTAATAGTGTTCACCTCACAGGATTGTTTTGAAGATTAAATTCTAATGCGAAAACAATGTACATGACACACAACACCACAAGTCTGTTAAGCAAACAAAAAATTTTTAAATAATAAATAAATAAACAATCAGGTGTTTTGTTCTGTTCTGTTTTCAAACAAAAGCCCATGTTTTTCATTCTCCCAGGCACAGGGCCCACGTTTCCCTTTCTCACTAATAAATTTATTGAGAGCAGCCAAAGTTATCATTCTGACTCAAAATCTGAAACTAAGGCATTGTCCTTGACTCTCTGGACCAAGAAAAAAAGCGTTAACTTGACAGAAAGATCAACTTTCAAAATAGCCAGAGGGAAAAGGAGAAATAATTAAGTAGCAATATGGCAAATTATCATGAGCACTGTTTACAAACAAGGGTGGCAATGAAAGCACTCTGATTGCACATCACACAAGCAACCCTATGACAACAAGCAAACACCCTCTACTTGGGTGGAGGCCAGAGAATCAGAAGCTCAATGCCAACTACGGCTACACAGCAAGTTCAAGGCCAGACTAGAGTGAACGAGACCCTTTCTCGGAAGGACAAGCTGAAAATCCTGCCAGTAGCTGGGATGGTGGCCCACGCTTCTCATGCCAGCACTTGGGTGGAGGCCAGAGAATCAGAAGCTCAATGCCAACTACAGCTACACAGCAAGTTCAAGGCCAGACTAGAGTGAACGAGACCCTTTCTCGGAAAAAAAAAAAAAAATCCTGTCAGTAAGGAAATCCTTACTGTTCAAATTTAAATTCCATAATCTTGTACATGCTGCTCCAGAGATGAAGACTTTTGAAGGGAAAGCAAGAATCCTACATGAAAATGCAACTTTTGAAGAGATTTAATTTTATGAGAACTACTGCAACAGAAGAAAAGCTCGAACCTTAAATCTTTCGTGTCTCAATGTCAAACAAGGCTCTCTTTTATAGAGTGCAGGCCAGCCTACTGGTACGTCAGGGGATATGGGCAAATGAGAGCACAGAAGGCGTGGTCAGGCTTGGTCGCCAGTTCTTAGATGCTCTGCATTTTAGTGCTTCCTCAGACTAGGAGCAGGGTGAATAAAGTACAGGGGTCCATGAGGAAGAGGAAAACAGGAAGTTTGGAGGCAGCTAGGCAATCAAGGAACAGGTGACTGTGAACAACTGTTCTTTTCATAACTGCAGGACTGCTCACTGAATTATTAGAATAAAGAATAGCTAAGAGTTATAGCTGTAGATTAAATAAATACCCAGCTTGACATCAATTAACAAGGCATTTCTTGCTGTGGCCCTAAGCACTGACTTCTAAGCAGTGCCCTGAACCCACTCTGTCACACTGGTCAAAGGATTTGCAAACAGATTCTCATTTGAGTGTTTCTTAAATGTTCCATCTCATAGAAGAAACCAAGAACTAGAACAAGCACAAAACAAAAGAACAACTAACATAGGAACACCGCAATGATTTTTACAAGAATAAATTCCAAATGCTGGAATGAGAGCATTTGGAACAAGCAAGAGCTGTACAAAGTTATAAAAATGCCCTACACTGAAGCTCAGTGCAAATATTTCACTGGCATCCGCTAGGAAAACACACGTGCATGCATACACACGCACACATGTGCACACAGTTTCTAATCACCTGAAACAGAAGTAGAGAAACAGTTCAAAAGACTGAGAAACAGTTAAAAACCAAGTATCAAAAAAGTAAAATATTACTGTCTTAACAAACAAGCCTAAACTAGTTGAAACTCTGATTTTACTATTTTATTACTGTTAGAACAAACTAGTAATTTAAAAAAATCTGCAACTTTTTTTCAAATATTAGAAACCAAAGCTGTAAAAGACTAAAGCAGCAACTTAGGTACAAAAGTCTCTTAAAAACTTCTTTGGGCATTGTAGTATTTGGTACAGTTACCTGTGAGCGATATGTTATGAATCACAGAGGAAAGATTTGAGTACTTTGCCAGCATTTCTTCTCGAAGACGTAGACTTGTAAAAGGTGAACCTGTAAGACAAATGACATGCAATTACACATCCTTCCCCAAACTAAGGGACTGTTAAAGACCAGTGTGGGTGGAACTCAGGAGACAAAGGCAGATGGAGCTCTGTGGTGGAGGCCAGCCTGGTCTACACAGTCTGTATAGGCTAGCTGGGGCTAAAAGGAGACCTGTCTTAAAAACAAACAAACAAAAAACAGTTTGGGGTTGATGAGATGGCTCAGCGGGTAAAGGCACTTCCCAAGTGTGATGACCTGAGTTTAATCCCCAGGCTCCAAATGGTAGAAGAACACAACTCCCACAAACTGTCCATCTTCTAACCTCTACACACACACACACACACACACACACACACACACACACACACTGCTAAGAAGGCTCTATCAACATTCCTTTCCTAATGAAAATCCTTTTTTTTCCCATTCATGAGCATAGTTCAAATGGAAGTTGTATTAAAGAAACAATATAATAAGATCAAGGCAGATGTCACTTGCTCGGTGATACTTAGGAAGGAAAGGGTGGATGGGAAGGCCAGAGCTGCTGTGTAGGCCACTGCTATTGAATTCTGTAAAGCACGTGCTTTGCTATCTTTGCCTCCTTCCTGGGAGACCTCCTTTCTTGGCCTAGCTGACTCCAGGACAACATGCCCTAATGGCTTTCTCACCACATTCCTTATTCCTGACACAAGCATGGGACCTTTTTCCAGATGATCTAGTGTCACTTATGATGGTGATTATTATTCACACTACAGGTCACAGTAAGAGAATGACACAGGCTGAAAATAATGCTTCGTACCATTCTTATTCCTACTCCACTTAACCAAGGACGCAGAAAAGCACCTGATTCATGCTATCTATGTGCTGCTGAGAAGCAAGAAACAAAGGCCCAATAGGAGTTCTTTCCACCAAATTTGTGATTGAGAGTCATTAAAATTTCAGAGTAGCACCGATTTCTGGCATTAGTTGTCATAGCTTGTGTATTTCACACAAGTTTGGCAGGAGATCTACAGAGTGTGAGGCCTGACTCTGGAGGTAGCATGAGGGTGAAGGTCATGGTAGACGATCAGCTAAGGTGTGTGTATGGGTGGGGGGACTGGTTTTCCTTTCCAGGCCCTATTTCAGAAAAAAGTCATCTACAATCTACATTAGAACAAAGGGAGAAAAGTGGTCTAAGTCTGAACTTGACAAAATCTCAGCTTATAGCAATTCAAAGAATAAAAGAAAGAAAAAAAAAAAGCTGCAGGAAGCAAGGAAATCTGGAAAGTTCTAGAATGTACTAGCTATCTGGGCCATTTTCCAATTACCAGTTCAGGTTCAGGGATTAAAATATACAATCAGTGGTCCAGAGCTGTAGGCTAACTCTACATGCCTTCAAGGAATCAATCTTTATCAGGCTCCACTTTTACCTTTTAACCACATGTGCAAAAGAATATACATGATGGGGTTGGAGAGACTGCTTAGTGGTTAGGAGCATTTGCTGGTCTTGCAAAAGACCCAGGTTCAGTTCCCAGCACCCACATGACAACTAACAACCTCTTGTAACTCTAGTTCCAGGGAATCCAACACCCTCTTCTAGCCTCTGTGGGTACTACAGGCAAAACATCATACACATAAAATAAAAATTAAATCTTTTTAAAAATGGGTAACTAGGATTATTTTTCCTTTGGGAAATGTTCCTTTAAAAGGCAACATACAGGCTGGAGAGATGGCTCAGCAGTTAAGAGCACTCAGTGCTCTTACAGAGGACCCAGCATCCACATAGCGACTAACAACCGTCCATATCTCCAGTTCCGGGGGGATCTGACACCTTCCTCTGACTCCCATAGGCATTGCACTATGTGGGTGCACTTACACATACGCAGGCAATACACTCATACAACATAAATAAATAAATAAATAAATAAATAAATAAATAAATAAATAAGTAAATAAATATTTACAAAATAAAAATAAAAAAGAGGCAAAATATGCAAATGCCTTGAGTGTTCAAGTAAAGTAAAAGTGAGCTCTATTTGGACAAGATATTTTGTGATCAAGAAAGTGGGACTATAAACCTTACTGCTTCTTGAGGACAGCTGGCAGCGAAGGGCTGACTCAGCTGGCATGTGTGCAAAAGAAACTGGCAGGGGAAGACAGATGTGGTTTAGATATTTCCCTAAAAGGATTAGGCTGAGTCGCAAACAAAGTACAAAATGGAAAATGGAGAGGCAGGAATCTTGCATTCTAATCCAAGTTCTGTCGGTGGCTTGTGACTTGAAGTATCACAATGTGATACACCCAGCTCATTGCTTTGATGACATGTGTCTCCACCATAAACTTCATGTCATAAGGAAAAGGGATGAGACGGACTAGAAAAGTCATATGAATATTGAGTGAGGGTGCCAGGTTCAATACACGCATCCTTCAAGTTACTACAATCACCCTTTTTTTAATCATTTCTGGGCATTTTGCACTTAGCATTTTCTTATAGGCAGTGGCAAAACATCAACATAAAAGAATAACAACAGTTGTTCCAGAGATTAAGCAATTTTTCTTCCCCCTTTGCAGGGTAGATGATGCCTGAAGATACTGAATCAAAGAATTGAGTAGCAAACTAATTTTCATCTATTATTACTTTATGTGAAATATGTTTTCACATGGTTATTTCTCACTTATTACATTTTAAAACAGATCTTGCTAGAGAAGCTTATAATTTATGCTATTAACACTATCAAATAAACATTATAGTATTTACTCAAAATTAAGTTAGCTGGGCATGGTGGCACATGCCTTTAATCTCAATACTCAGGATGCAGAGTGCGCTCAAGGCCAATCTGATCTGCATATGAAGTTTCAGGTGAGCCAAGGCTACACAGTGAGACCATCTAAAAAAAAGCTAACATTTTTTACATATTTAACTTTTGTGTTTTGTTTCATTAAAGCAAACTGAAAAGGATATAAGAACTAAAAAGTACTACAAAACTGCACTTATCTTTAATATTTTGTTTATGGAAGGAAATAAATCCAACTACATCTCCCATAAGAAGAAATATTCCCTCTAAGCTGGGCCTAATGGTGCAGGCCTATAATCCTTGGCTGACGCAGGAATATTATCAAGTTGAAGGCCTGCCTGGGCAACTCTGTGGAATCCTGCCTCAAAGCCGAAAACAAGACTGGGAATACACCTCAGTGGGAGATCACTTGCCAAGCATGTGCAAAGCTAAGGGTTCAATCACCAATACCAAAAGAAAAAGGTTAAAAGGGGGATATTCTAATATCTCTTCATTCCATTTTAATATTTTGTAAAATTTTTCAATTTGTGTGTAAAATGGCATGAACTGAGGACAGGAGCGTAGCTCAGTTGTAGAACATTTGCCAGCATGCATAAGACCCTGGGTTCAATCCCCAGAGTCACAAACGGTTGTGATTATTAAGATAAATACAATATTCGTCTCATCTACATATTTATTGCTATTAATATGCATAACTAAGGCTTTAATAAATATCCATTTTCAGCATTCTTATACACAGCATTACACTTATACAATCCAGTTATAAAACTACTACAATATATTATATATATATATATATATATATACACACACACATATATAAAACATATACTGGTGATAACACATTAACTTGAATAGGAGTGTATTTCATCATTGAAGCAGTGTTGTATGTAACCT